ACCAAAAATACTTTGATTCATGAGTTTCTGCCAGTTTGTTTTTATTTTTTGTCATTTGTGTTTATTATGAAATTGGTCTTAAATTTAATTTCACTTGGCATTAAAAACGTCCTAAAAGGTAAAATTAACTTACCTTAAACTGTATGAACCCTGTTGTATCAAAAACATTACAATTTTAAGTATGCTCTGTTGTTTTTGTTGTGTGTGTGTTTGTAAGGTGGCAGCTGGCACTCTGGATGCCAGCACAAAGATCTACGCTGTGAGGGTGGACGCTGTTCATGCTGATGCCTACAGGGTGCTGGGTGGTCTTGGGGCTGAGACGAAACCTGGAGAAGGTGAGACCCCTGCATCATGTGCAGCTGGATTTTTATTTGTTTATTTTGTGGCTTAATATACTATTGAACAGATTCTACATATCCAGCACGTCTCTTTTGTCTCTCTGATTCAACTAACCTGATCAGTGGACATTTAACTTGATTGTTTACAAGTTGGCTTGTTTGATTCTGAACATGTTGGTTCATATAAACAGGTGGGGTTAGCAGCAGATGAGAAGTCACAATCAGTTTCAGAAACTGTATGAATCCAACAAAAGACCAAATTAAACTTGTTAACTAAAATAAAAAAAATTAATTTCAATATTTACAGCTGCTAGGGACAAGGCAGGACATAAACCTGTCAAAACGCACAATAAAGGTTTATTTATTTATTTATTTATTTATTTATTTATTTATTTCCAGAAAAGCTGACTGTATTTCAGCTGTATCGTATCTCCTGGTTTGACATGAAGGCTTATAACATTTGAGCCCCACACTGTCACAGCTATAAACTAAAGGGAATGGATATGGCTTGCCACTTTGCATGCCAACATTTACAATAACTTATTTACTTTAGGACAAGATTTAATATCTAAACATTAACAAGGTTTTTACAGTTTTGTTTGCTGAGGCTGATCAGCTGTTGCTGCCATCATATTGACTCCAAATGTTAAATGTAGATGTACGTCCATCTAATTACTTTCTGAAAGTTTCTTTAAAATTCATCTACCAGCTGAGATATCATGCTGACATGTAAACAAACACATCTAGAGACGGGCAGTTATCTACGTCTTCAAAATAAGCAGAAATAACTTCGTGGCTCATTTCTCATTTTATCAGTTTGTCACAATGTATGAGAGTTATCTGTGCAGCAACGTTCAGAAAGTAAAGATTAGTTCTTCCAGTTTTTCACTGATTGTTCTCAGTCTGGTGCTGGTCCATAAATGTTCTTGGCCTAACCATTTTTGCTCTGCGGGATAAATATATTTTTTTGTTTTGTACTTTTCTTTCTTTGTGAATATGCAGACTGTGGTCCAGACCAGGAAGGAGATGGTACTGCCGGGGATGAAAATGTCAAGCAGCCGAAGAAAAAGAGGCCTCCTAAAAGAACAGTAGAGCAGAATCTGAGCAACATCAACAGTGCAGAATCAGAGAGGAAATGTGAGGTATGGTTGGAAAACCTTGTAAAGTGTTATTTACTCCTCCCTGTTGTGTGCTGTCGTCTGTGGCATTGCTTTTGAGCAGCCCAGAAACAAGATTTTTATTTTATTTTATTGTCTTTCATTCTTCTTCAATCGAATGTGTTAACATTCAAAATAAATCTGATTTGTTTGGTGGCTGTGGCAGAGTAGTTAGGGGAGTTGTCTTCAGTCAGTCAGTTGCAGGTTTGATTGACCCTTTGCACGTGACGTCACGCGCCTCAGAAGACCGCCCCTTTTTTCTTTGTTGGATGGCAGAAACAGACATGTGTCCAAAAGCTACTATTGAGCTAGAGGAGAATCAGGCATTTGGTAGCCTAATATCGTTCTTTCCCCCTGTTGATTTAGCTGTAAAAATGGTGTTCAGCTGCTGCGCAGTCGGCTGCAGAAACAGACAAGGAAACAAACCAAACTTGTCCTTTTATCGTAGTCTTAAGCTGCTGCGCAGTCGGTCGGATCTGGAGACTCTCTGGTTAACCGGACCGGAGTGTCTCCGGTTTCAGACCGCTGCGCTGCTGGTTCTAAAATATTATAATCTCTCCGTCTGCCCACCTGCAGCACTCCGTGTCATAGTGAAGACATAAACAACAGTGATAGCTGGAAATATACTAGTTGTTTTTACTCAATGTTGAATCAGTGTTGTTGAGTGAAAGGTCGGTAGGAGGAGAAGCTTTTATTTTTTTTCTTCCATGTTGATGGAGTAAACACCAGTTGTGCATTCAGGTCATAAAATCAGACCAGCTGATCATCAAAGCTGTTCATCTTTTTAATTTAACGGGGAATGGATCATTTCAGCTAAATATCGAACAGAAAGAAGCGCAGCTCAGAGCGCTGCGGTAACCCGGAGCTGTTTAACATGTAGAGAAGCTACTAGCTTGTTAACTTGCTAGCCTGCTAGCTGCGTTGTCGGCTCTCCGCTTCGAGGTGCTCAGTAACCTGAAAAACATCTAGAATAACGTATGGAATCAGCAAATAAAAATACATTAGCATTAACAAGCAAGTCTTAGCTTGGCCATTATGAGATATCTTGTCTCTCCAATGTAAGAGAAGCACTCTGTCCCGGTCACCCATCCAGCAACAAAAAACTGATAAGCATCCAGGCTTTTATATGCTTTTAAGTCAGCTCCAGTGTAGGGGGAAACACCATTTATGACATAGTGGTATAAGTCATGTGGCGTGAATTCAGGCAAAGTTTGCATTTTGATCAAATCAACAAACACGTCCGGAGGGAGAAGATATGGGTCCATTTCTATCTAGCTATGTCCAATAAATAACGCTGTCTGTGAGCCCCAACTAGGTGTGCGACTTCCACAGAAAAATTATCTAAATTTTAACAAGTAGAAACCATGGCAAAAACAAAAAAACAACTTCAAAAACAATCACTGCCATTCAATTCAATACAGCACTCCGTGCCTTCTGCCGTCTGACATGCCGGTATCACTTGACTTTGTCACGTGGGTGCAAAGGGTCAATACCCCATTCCATCCATCTACAGGCCTGAACTCACTCCTAAAGCCAAACAGACGCACAGTCAGGTGGTTGTTCACCAAGCTGAGCTCCTGGGAAACCCCTCCCGCTGCAGCATACGTCACTACAGGGGGTTTCTCCCTTCAGCATACAGGGACGAGGTGCAGTGGTTGGCAGTGTGGTGTCAGAACAACCTGTCCTTCAACACCCTAAAAACCAAGGAGATGGTCATAAACTACAGGAAGAGTAATGGTGCGTTCACACCGAACGCGATTTCAGCATCAGGAGCAGCAGGTTTACATACAAAGTCTATGGTGGACGCGCTTCAAGCAACGTCGGGAAGTTCTGCGGCGCCTCAAGCGCGATTAGAGCAGCGCGATTTGAACGATTTGGACGATCTGAGCGTTCGACACGCTGAGGCGCAAATCGCTGAAGTTAGGAAATCTGAACTTTTGCAGCTCGACGCGCAGCGTCAACCAATCAGAGAGACTCCACTGTGTGACGTAGTGACATATTTCCCGACGGGACAGTTTACTGAATGATGTCCACTAACCTGAAACAGACAGAGCTCCTGCTCTTTAGCTGAAATGAGTGCTGCAGTCGTGTCCTGATCCGCAGCAATGCGTGGCAGCGACTCATCAGACTGGAAAAATAGTCCTGAAAGCGAGCTGTGAGCCTCTACTCTGAATTATCTGGTGAATTAATTATGAATTAATTATCTGATGAACGTGACATGCTCTGGCTCTCTGTAAATAAAGCAAAGCCACTTCCTCGTCCGACATTAAACAGCCCCACAGAGGAGGGAGGGGCGGGGCGGCTGTCGCCGTGCAGCGCAGCTGTCCTGCGTCTGACCTCAAAGTGCACAAGCTTCAAACTTCAGCGTTGGCTGCGATTTTGACGCTGAAATCGCGTTCGGTGTGAACGCACCATAAGGCTGCTCCTGCACCTCTTTACATCAATGGAGACAGCGTGAAGAAGGTCACCACTTCAAATTCTTCACGACCTACAGCAAACCTCTCCTGGTCAGTCAGAGGCCCAGCTGAGACTCCACCTGAGAGTATTCAGTTGGAACAACTTGGAGACTAAGCTGTTGGTATCGTTCTATCACACCACCATAGAGAGGGGGCTGGAAAACAGCATCACTGTGTGGTACGCTGGCTCCTGCGCTGCTGAAGAGGCTGCAGGTGATGATCAGGACTGCTGAGAAAATAACTGCTTGTCTACTCCCCCCCTTTGACAATATTGCCAGCAGCCGCTGTCTCTCCAGGACAAAGTGGATCTTAAAAGACCACCTGGTCACCACCTGCTCAGCTTGCTGCCTCCAACAGAAGGTACAGGAGCTTTAAGAGCCGCACCAACAGACTCAAAAACTGTTTCTTCCCATGGGCCGTCTGAACACCAGCCAAATATCCTGAGAGCAGTAACTACTTTTTTAGTTTTGTCTCTGTAAACTCTATATATTGCTGTTGTTCTATATGTCCTATGTTCAGTTACGTTGTACAGGCATATGCAATGACAATAAAGACTATTCTATTACCATGCTGTAATTATTCATATGAAATAAGGATAATCTTCTTGACTTGATTTAGTTCATATTACTGAATTTTACTTGATGCAAATGTTTTTAAACTGACCACTGTTCCCCTTCAACACCCAGGTGGACCCCATGTTTCAGCGGTTGGCTTCCTCCTTTGATGAGACCAGCACGGCAGGCGTCTTCCTGTCTGTCCTCTTCAGTGAGAACAGTCGCTGTGAGCTGCTGTTTCCCTCTCACATGACTCTCCTGCAGTCCAGACCCTCTTACTCTCCTCCAACTCCACAGACAGTCCCTGCATCACCATTCAAGGGTAAAAACTATTTACCAAGTACAAAGGCTTGCATTGACTTCAGTGGCTCCCTGTTTTGTGTCCTTTTTAAAAGTTTTATCTCTATCTAAAAAAAGCTAAACCCTGTCTTTCTATCACTAGCCGGACTGCAACGTTCCCAGGAGAAAAGCTCCATCTGCCCGTCGCTGCAGGACTTTTCCTTCACAAGCTGGAACCCCGAGCAGGTCAGGGAACCATAAGTTACTTTGCTGCAATTCTTTCAAAGTAAATATTAGTAATTGTTTCAGTTCTCCTAAACTTCACTGTTCATTTTACGCATTTAATAAAAAGGCATCTGAAGACAGAGATTTAGCAAACTCGCAAAGTTTTATTTCAGCCTAAACATGCACTATGTGGTGCTCCAAAAACTACCATTAATACCACCCCTTTCTTTCTGGTTCTCTCCTTTCAGACCATGAATCAGCTGTTGGAGAAGATGAAGCAGGGTGAACATGTGTTTGACGTGAACGCTGAGCCTGAACCAGAACCAGAGGAAGACTGCTGCCCTGACTTTGATGCTGATTATGAGGAGGGATCAGCTGACTATGAAGATAGATCTAAAGAGGTCAAAGAGGGCTGTGAAGGCTCTGGGTCCGGCAAAGGAAGGTAAGTGGGTTACACACCAGTACCTCTGATTAGAGGTTGAGAGTGAATAAAGGGTTGACAAATATTGTATATTTAGAAAAAAATCTACTTAAAATATATCTGCTAAAGCTGTAAATGTACATGATGACATGCTTTCTGAATTGCCTCAGGCTTTAATTCATTGCATGACATTTTTAAATTTTTATTTTAACAAATCTAATTTTCCTTGTCACACAAACATGAATATTAATAATATGATAGGCCATCTTTCAATCTTGTGGATATTAATGTAATTATCAATGTTTTAGGCAGAAAACGATTATTTTCACAACATGCTTTCTGACTAGTTTCCTGCCTCTGCTTTTTATTCTTTTCACTAATGACAAGGAATCTTTAGCGTAAAATATCCAGCTGCTCTCGAGAAGAGAGTCAGCACTGCAGAAAAACTGCCAAGTCATTCAGAGTCACCTGAAGATAACACATCTGTGGGATGTGTTTATGTATTTATTTTCCCCTGTGTTGTTTATGCAGGGATGTTATTCCCATTGGTGAGGGGGACATAGCCACCATGTGTCTGCAGCTGTCCTCTCAGCCCAGAGAGTATTCCTACTTCAGCCCCAGGACCATGGCCACATGGGCTGGCCCAGGTTACTGGCAGTTCAAACCGAAGCACAAATGTAAGTAAACAGTTCTTTAATAGGTACTTGTATGTTTGTATATTTGTTTATTTAAAAAGGGGCAAACAGGTAATTCAGTGTATCATCTAAATGTACCAGATGGAGCCATTGGGGCTGCACAATATATCGTAAATATATCATCATAATATCAGTGTGCACAATATTCATATTGCAAAGGACTGCTGGGAGTGCAGTAATTGTTGACTAATGTATGTGAAGAGTTTTAAAGTTGTATTTTTCATTCTAACGCAATATTTAGACAGTAGGACAGCTTCTTGGCAGCAAAAGCTCACACCAGACACAAATGACATTGATTTTTGGCAAGGTCATTTGTGTCTGGTGTGATCTTTTGCTGTCACATACAGTATGAAATACAGATTAGAAAGGGAGGAGAAAAAAAATAGGCACATACCGCTCCTGATACTGTCATCGCAATATTTAAAAATACCGCCATTGCAAGAACTTCCAATATCGTGCAGTCCTAATAGCCACACACATATTTTTGTCCCACTGTGGCTCCTGACACGTTCACAGAATAAGTTAAATTATTTAGTGAGCAGTGGTATGGGTTATGAAACCAGTTCATCTTTAGAAAGCTGTGGACATCTTTATTGATATTAGTTTGTAGGAAAATTACACAACTTGCTGAAGAGTTTTTGTTCTCAGTACGATCCGAGTAATTGAAGATTAAGTATTTGCCAATCTTAATCTGAAACTTGCACGTGCAGATTTTATACTCTCTCATTGTCTCTTCTTTTGAAAGTTTCTAAAGTGTGTTGCTTAGCCGTGTTAGCTTTGAGAGCTAGCTGGGTGAACTCGATGTACTCGATCATGTCTTTGGATTTGATGAGAAATACAGTGGGGAGAACAAGTATTTGATACACTGTTGATTTTTCAGGTTTTCCCACTTGCAAAGCTTGTAGATGACTGTAATTTTTATCATAGGTACTCTTCAACTGTGAGTGATGGAATCTAAAACAAAAATCCAGAAAAATACAATGTATGATTTTTAAATAATTAATTTCCATTTTATTGTGTGAAATAAGTATTTGATACACCAGAAAAATGAAACTTAATATTTGGTACAGAAACCTTTGTTTGCAATTACAGAGATCAGACGTTTCCTGTAGTTCTTGACCAGGTTTGCACACACTGCAGCAGGGATTTTGGCCCACTCCTCCATACAGATCTCCTCCAGAGCCTTCAGGTTTCGGGGCTGTCGCTGGGCCACACGGACTTTAAGCTCCCTCCAAAGATTTTCTATTGGATTCAGGTCTGGAGACTGGCTAGGCCACTCCAGGACCTTAAGATGTTTCCTATGGAGCCACTCTTTAGTTGCCCTGGCTGTGTGTTTTGGGTCATTATCATGCTGGAAGACCCAGCCACGACCCATCTTCAGTGCTCTTACTGAGGGAAGGAGGTTGTTGGCCAAAATCTCACGATACATGGCCCCATCCATCCTTCCCACAATATGGTGCAGTCGTCCTGTCCCCTTTGCAGAAAGCATCCCCAAAGAATGATGTTTCCACCGCCATGCTTCACGGTTGGGATGGTGTTCTTGGGGTTGTACTCATCATTCTTCTTCCTCCAAACATGACGAGTGGAGTTTAAACCAAAAAGTTCTACTTTTGTCTCATCAGACCACATGACCTTCTCCCATTCCTCCTCTGGATCATTCAGATGGTCATTTGCAAACATCAGACGGGCTTTGACATGCGTTGGCTTGAGGAAGGGCACCTTGCGTGCACTGCAGGGTTTTAATCCTTTACGGCGTAGAGTGTTACTGATTGTTTTCTTTGAGACTGTGGTCCCAGCTCTATTCAGGTCATTGACCAGGTCCTGCCGTGTAGTTCTGGGCTCATTCCTCACCTTCCTCAAGATCAATGATGCTCCACAAGGTGAGATCTTGCATGGTGCCCCAGACCGAGGGAGATTTTCCGTTATTTTGTATTTCTRCCATTTTCTAATAATTGCACCAACTGTTGTTGCCTTCTCACCAAGCTGCTTGCCTATTGTCCTGTAGCCCATCCCAGCCTTGTGCAGGTCTACAATTTTATCCCTGATGTCCTTACACAGCTCTCTGGTCTTGGGCATTGTGGAGATGCTGGAGTCTGATTGATTGAGTGTGTGGACAGGTGTCTTTTATACAGGTAACGAGTTCAAACAGGTGCAGTTAATACAGGTAATGAGTGGAGAACAGGAGGGCTTCTTAAAGAAGAACTAACATGTCTGTAAGAGCCAAAATTCTTACTGGTTGATAGATGATCAAATACTTATTTCACACAATAAAATGGAAATTAATTATTTAAAAATCATACATTGTATTTTTCTGTATTTTTGTTTTAGATTCCATCACTCACAGRTGAAGAGTACCTATGATAAAAATTACAGTCATCTACAAGCTTTGCAAGTGGGAAAACCTGAAAAATCAACAGTGTATCAAATACTTGTTCTCCCCACTGTATCTGAGCCACTATTTTCAAATATTGCAAGTAGCTTCTGTACTCCTTTTATTTTTATAGTTATCAGCACGTGAACAGACATGTTGGTGTGTTACATCAGAAGGTTTTCCAGCTGAGCTGATGTGAAACCACTGACAGGTCAAAGACAGCGATCAGGAGCTGAGTGCAGTCAGCTACTCTGACACCAGTGATCAAGACCTCAGTCTAATACTTGACATCAGTTCAAGGCTTCTCCATTTATCATCGCTCGTTTATTGTTTTGCCACCAGAAATGTTGACACATCAAATGGTTACTATAAAATCTAACTTCAGTGTACAGCATTTGTCCTTTGTTCTGCCTTCATTTTGAACTTAAATCATTGTGTCAGCTGTAGTTTTTTAAGCTATCCTTTTACGTTTTTGTTGTGAGAAGTTTCATACTCTTAAAGTCAACGTTGGCTAAATGTTCCCAAGCTAAGAATGAAAAACTGTCAGAGCGTTAAAACTTGTTTAATTAAAGATAATCTCAATGATTTCCTGCAAACTTAGTTTAATTATGATCATGGATCTTTTTAGAGATAAGCATTTCAAGCAAAATCACCCTGTAATTTATTTGATTAATTATTATGATAAAAAATATTGATATTGAATTATTATTCTGAATATTTCTACCTCTTCATACTACAGCATTTCTCCTGGACTCAGACTGTAGTTTTTTTGTTTGTTTTTTTTTTTTTCGACTTTGTGACAGTGGCAACTTTCAGTCAAATTGCATACAAACTTGATTATCTAAGTGCATTTTAGGTTCCTGACATTTACACGTTGCTTCTTAAACTTTTCTGCTGATCTGTGTGTCGGTTAATCCCAAAGAAAACTTTCAAACTCTTTCTAAGTCTGCTCATAGGCAGCTCATCATGAAATATATGCTTATTCACAGCACCAGTGACATTTTTCAGAAGGGCTGCACATCTGAAGGAACTTTGAGTCAAATGTTACAGACTTAAATCATACTTTACTGAGATGCTCCTGATGACACGGTTCAGAGAATCTCAGAATAAGTTCTGAGAAAGAAAGGAAGCACTGCTGAACTGCCTCATTTATAAAGGATTGCTTGAAAATCATAGTAAAAGTGAACGTCGGCCAAAAAGAAATCAGATTTATAAAACCGTGCACAAGTACACCCTCAAGCAATTTCCCTTCATAGATCACAGACGCACTTCAGAGTTTGCGTACAAGGTCCCACCTCAGGTTCTGCCCTCTATACGCCTACATTCAACCAGTCAATGCAAAGTACCTCATGAATGTTAAAGGGATCCCCGATTAGTTGTAACATTAGACTTTATATGATAAACATACTTTAACTATAAAATAAAGACTGTAAAAATACTGTAGGGTGTTCAGTTTTTATCATTTTTAAACTAAAAGTTAAAAAATTACTACACGGACGGGGCCATTTTATTTACATGCAAAGCATTCTGGGTAACTGATGACATCAACTAGGTCATCAGTGCGAGGCTGCTAGCGAGCTATATCCACTCTGAAGGTTAATCTTGGACAATATCTGATGATAGACTCTTAAATGAAACCAGAGAGCGTTGACAGAGAGGAGAAGGTAGAAATGACTCAGTCTGTAAATGAAAATATGGATGGAGGACCTCAGTTTAGCTTGTTTGTCGTGCTAGCGCCGAGCTAATACTTATAAGGCAATATAGCACTAGCGCAAAAGGCTTCCATGAAGCAGCTCTGTTGTCCTCAAAGACATAAATTAGTTTGCGGCACAAAACTTTCTTGAGGGGACGAACACGTTCAGTGAAGGAACTGAACAGCTTCACTTAGAAAAATTATTTTCAATTTTTGATAAAAGCATTGTCTTATAATGACACCCTTGGGTACAGTACATGTGCATCGTCCTGTTTTGGTTTGATTTGATTTATTGATTCAACAGGAAAAGTTTACTAAAAATCAAGCCTGACTCAGCATAATGGCTGTTTTACAGCAGGTTCCTGTTCTGCAGCATATAAAACACTCAGAAATACAGCATCACAATCACATCATTATACACCATAGACACAAAGACAAACAAGCATACCAAATTTCAGGAAGGCAGCATTTGCAAAATAGGACATCTAAATATGAGCGCAACAAAAAGTGTCCAGCAGATGGCAGACAAGATTCTTCTTAAAGGGCTGTAGTTTTGAAATGGACTTTATGTTTTGAGGAATGTCATTCCATGCTTTAGTATAAACATAGAAGAAAGACCTCTGGCCGTAACAGTTTTTAAAAGTTGGTAATATCAGTTGTCCTTTTGTAACAGATCTAGTTGAATGACCACTTCCAGAATTTGATTTGGGCAACAATGAAACAGTTTTATCTTTGTGCTTTTTTTTATATTTCTGTCTGTTCTTTTTCTACTTTAGTGGATCATGTACCTGACAAGGAGACCCGAAAAAGGAAACCTAAAAAAATCTTTGAGATAGACTTCAGTGATGATGTCAACTTTGACACTTACTTCCGTACCACAAGGGTAAAACCTTTATGTACTTTATTTCAAACAAAACCCTTACCAACACTCTAAAATGTTATTTTTATGTTCGAGTAGCCATCTGGCTCCAGTTTATTTGAGTTTTGTTTTTTACCCCCCAACATGTGAAAATCCTAATTGCACTCAGTCATTTGATCATCTTTGTCTTCTTTTTCTGTGTTCTAAATTGTTTGCCATCCAGTACGTTCCTTATAAGATCTGACTGATTGCAATTCTGAGATGTTATTTGAAGTATTGGTTTTATACTAGAGGGAGGGGAGGGTCAAAAGTTGGAGAAATTTTCATCCTCAAGTTAAAATATAGGCACATGAACTGTATACAAAGGCACTTAATTGTCATTATCTGTATTAATTATTTCTTTTTATGACAATCTTGTCCCTATCAATGAAAATATTAGTTATAAAAAAGGCACGTTGACTACTCTTTTTTTCCCTGAATCTCATATTTCCTGCTTTACCTTCCCAGGCAGCCACCACTAACAGCAAGTCTGCGCTCTGTGCAAGCAAAAAGAAAACCACTTTACCTGCAGACTTCAAGTTTCCCCCTGAGAAGCTGTCCCAGCTCAGCCTCAAACCCTCCAGCTCGGTGAGACTGGGATTAGTTCTGTCTTCTTCTACAGCTGCTGGAATCAGAGCACCAACAGAACTCGCAGAACAAAAATTGAGCGATTTTAGATTTTCTATGAACTGTTTCCAGTTGATGTAATTCTGGCTGTCCACCTGACATAAACTCTTCACAAATTGTTCAGTCTAAATCAGTTTATACCTTTTATCCTGTTTATGGTTCTTTAATACAAATTGAAAGTATGTCATCTTCTGCTTCTCGTAAAAATTTATTAAGGAATTATGACCCAGTTCAAAGCTGACCTCCCACACAAACAAAAAATTAAAAGACTTAGAATTCCTTGATAAACACACCTTTCCTGCCAGAGTTTTAAACTATCTTATAATGAGAAATTGTAAAGTTGTAGCTGTTTCAATCAAACAATATAAATAATGTTTTGGGATGTTAGCTACGATCACACCAACCTTTTAGCTCAGTATCTGTGGAATGGTCTGAATTATAGACATTTATGTGTTTGTTAGAGTCAGCTAGTCGTGAATCTTGTCATTTTTGTTATGTGCTAAATCCACTTTGGCAGCCATCTTGAAGGTTTTTTAGTTGCATAAATACTTCCAGTGATTTCTTTGATAGTTTCATTCAAATCTGTCTGAAATATTTTGCAAAGAGACAGACAAAGGAAAAAACCATTACCTGATGCCAATGGCAAATGATTCTGTATTCAGCAACACTGTTGTGTCATTTATAGGATTGAGGTTTAGCATTAGGTTCTGGTGACTCGCTACAGAATCTATTCTGATTATCTGTATCGTACAAAAAGATGTTTATCTAAATGTCATATTATATGTTGTAGTTGAGTCAAGAAGTGCAGAAGAGGCTGTCTGGGGAGCTTGGAGAAGGCATCGGTGATTATGACTACAACAACCCCAATGATACAGTCAACTTTTGTCCAGGTCTTCAGGTCTGAAACCTACCTTTTTAAATTACTTTGCATGTCTTTTTTGTTTTTACTTTTCCTGTGTACTTTTTGGACCAACCTTGTTCAGTGTTTGAAGTAGTAAGAAATGATGGAGTCTAAAAATGATCGAATAATTTCTGAAGCTGTTTGGAGTGAGGTGACTGCAGCAGGCTGGTGTCTTCTGTTTGATACCTGCTGCTTCTGCAGTAAGTTTCACAGGAACATGCCTGACAGCCACAGGTGATGCAAACACTACTTTATGTTTCTGATTTGCAGGCAGAGCAGAAAGAATTTATAAGAACTGTGCCTCTTTACTGAATGAATCTGCAACTTAAACTGTTCATCAACGCTGAATTAGACAGTCTTGTTCCTCGTCACAGATCATCCCTCTGATGTGTGTTTGTCTCTTATTTGATGTTTTTTTCAGGGTAATGACAGTGATGATGATGTTGAAGGGTTTGCTGCCTCAGACGACACACAGCCCTCAGGTGACAGTATACCTCCACCCTCACAGGATCTGTCCACATACGGGGAGGACAATCTGGTACCGGAACCACACAGGGTAAGTCATGCATGATTTCTGTCCCTTATGAAGGTCGTGGCTTTAGTCCTTTTCTGCTCAAAAACTTTACCTTTTTTTAGACAGAATGAATATTGTGAAGGTACATAAAACAATATACCACTTTATATTCTTTAATGCAGGGGTGTCAAACTCATTTTCACCGAGGCCCACATGAGCGTTATGGTGGCCCTTTGAGCCAGACGGGAGTGCTGAGGGCCTTGAGTGGATTCTTTTTTTTTTTCCAGCCCATAAATTTTTTTTTCGGTAACTTTGCGTAAATAAAGGCTCAGAATTCCTGAAGGGAAGCATATCACCAGTCATCTTTGATGCCAGACTTTTTAAAATTAAAATCATAGAAGCAACAGAGTTTAACCGTTTTAGTCAAACCTGCACAGTTTGGACCAACATTATGAGTTAGGCCTCAGAAAATGTGTTTTTGATGACTCTCAGCTACTACCACACCTAAATTAGCTAGTATCTTGTAGAATTGACTGAGTTAAAGCCATTTGTATATTTTTATTTTCTATTATATGGAGTTGTTCATTATTAATTAAATGACTAAATTTCTAAAAAATAATAATAATAATTGATTAGCTGTGGCCGCCATCTTGAATTAAGTTAACCTGACTTTTAAAAAGCACTTGTAAGTCCAATAATTACTTTCTGAAAGTTTTGTTAAAATCTGTCCAGTGGTTCATGAGATAATTTGGTAACGCTACAAACTAGGGTTGGGCGATATTGGCAAAATAATTAATCACGATTAATTGTAGTATTTAGTCGTCAACAATTAATTTGACGATTAATCATCTGGAGTCCCTGGACGCCCTTATATCCTAGTCACATGACCAATTTAGTGGGAAAGATTTGCTCTTCGTAAAAATCTGTTCCAAATTGAGTCAAAATCAGACTTCAGACTATACTTCAAATTTTAAATTGTGTTGATAGATAAATAAATTACAGAACTTTTGTTTAAATGTTCGTCATATTTGAAGCAGAGAGGAGCAACAAGCGGACTGACCGGGGAAATATCCAGTCAGTCTGCCTGGTGGCATTAATTGTATTAATCGTCAAGTGCCAAAAAGTAATCGATTAATGTTTTTCTGACGATTAATTGCACACGATATGATTATGTCCAACCTATTACAAACACAGACACACATACTCGTCTCACATGTGGATTTTGCATTGACTTCCATTCATTTCTACAGCCTAACCCTGACTCCTTACCTTAACCTCACAGGTACATACCTGATCCTAATCTAAACTTAATTCATACCATAGCTCTAAACTGTAAGACTGACCCACAAATGGGGTTTTTCCATTGTGTGGACCAGGCAAATGTCCTCATAAGCATAGTATAATGTCAACATATGTCCATACACCAATACAAAGAAATGTACAAAAACACACAAAGAAACAGGCGATACAAATTTTACTGTAAAGTTTTTTTGCTTTGGTTTGTTTTGTGTTTATTTTTCCTCCAGTTTCACATTCACTAACTGTACTTCTTGCTTGTAAAGGTAAACAAGATTGAAATCAACTATGCGAAGACAGCAAAGAAAATGGACATGAAGAGACTTAAGAACAACATGTGGACTCTTCTGACTGAAAGCCCAGAGAAAACAGCACAGGTCGGTTACACCGAATGTTTACAAGTTAGATAGCCTGGCCCTTGCCTTCCTACGCAGCTCCGTTCAGTTCTAGTTTCCCTTCACTGCTCCGTCTGGGACTTCTCCCACTGAGATGGATTTTGCTGGCAGATTTTTAGCCGGGCCAATCAGAGAACAGAACGTGGATTTTCTGCGCAGTGTCTGCTTGTAGTTTATTTTACCTGGGCCAATCAGAGAACAGAAGGAGGAGTTTTGAACAACGTCGATTTTCTGCGCAGTGTCTGCTAGTTATTTTACCATACGGCAGTGGAGGAAGTGAATGAAGCCAGTCTGTGTTGATAAGGCTTCCAAATTAAATTAAATTTGTCTGACAAAGCAGCAGCTCTCATTTACAGTTGTCTCGTTCGGCTCGGTACTTTTCTCCTCTCAGTTGGGTTGTTTACAGCACACCTGATTTCCGGTTAGCTTCTTAGCTTAGCCTCCGTCACAGCTATGGTCACAGTCAGCGATTTACATCGCAGCCAACTGATCCAATCATTTTAAACTTCAGCAGAGGCCACGCCTCCTGCAAGAAATCGATTCTCCATGCATCGAGTCCAGACCCTTGTACGAAACAAAGTGAAGGACAGGGTCTGGTTTAAACCAGGCTACAAGTTAGAGGTTGGTTTAACAAGATAACAGGTGTGTGCTGTGAGAACATTTGAAAATCTTGTCTTCAGTCTGTTTGTGTGGTGGACAGAGTCAGTCGGTTTCAGCTGTGTTTGATTCTGTGTTCATGTCTGTTTTATCACGTCTGCCTCCATGTTTCCAGCAGGTGGAGCAGCCTGCAGAGGCTGCAGAAGTGAGCGGAGAGAAAGCCTTCAGTCAGACCACAAAGGCCCTGCTTCAAAGGTAGCAGCTGACCTCCTGCTGTAATACAACACTTAAGATGAATAATAATCACAAGCAGCTCTCAGAAGGCATAAAGGCTGCATGAAAGTGATGAATCTTGTTCGCTTATTAACTCCATCTTGACTTAACAACTAACTCTGAGGAAATGTTATTTTAGACATTAAATATATTGTGATTGTCTCCATGTTTCTGTTTTCTTTTTTCTTTGTGGTCCTTCAGATTGCCAAACACAATGGCTCAGAACCTGTCTGTTCCGTTGGCTTTTGTGGCTCTGCTTCATCTGGCCAATGAAAAGGTAAAAGTTGTTAAAACACTGGTTGATTGCGTATTACGCATTAATGATGTTCATGTTGCACGCTCTGCTTGTTAAAGCCCTGAAGAACAGGGATAACAACATCTAGACTCAAATGATGCTCATTTTTCAGACTAAAGACCCGGTACACTTTAATGTTTTAAAAGAAATCACTATATTACTAAGTCAAAAGAATGTAGCATTTGATTATAATTTTAGTTTCTTAGTTACAAAGTAAAACAATAAAACAAAACACTACATTATACACCTCCTTCCTTATCTTTGAGGTGGTTCAGTCCCACTCAGCCACACTTGCTAGTCAGAAACATTTGGCTGTCGAGAGGAGAAAGCAAAGTGGTGAATCAGATGGAAGATGGAGTGATATCACTCTAATTATGAGCATAAGATGTCCACACGTCATTTTATGCTGCTCTCAAGCAGCTCATGTGGAACACTGAACATTTGTCAGCTGAACGGACATCTAGGCTAATACTGAACTAAATGTGAACTAACAGTGAAAGTTTTAAGAGTGTATTTTTCTGGTTTTATATTTATGAAAACAAAATGAGAATCTAATTCAGCATTGCATTGTTTTTTAACTTGCAAAACAAAACAAAAAAACCCAAACTAATGGTTATGTAAAACTGAGCCTTTCCCTGCACTCATATCTAGTTCCCTTTCAGTCAATTCACTCGGTACAACATCATGTATGGGAACCACGCCCCTGCGTGTCCTGGCTGAAGCCACCTCTAATC